CACAATTTTGCTATAATATTTCTGTTTCTATTTGGGAAATTATGAATATTTCAAGAAGAGTAAAGCTGCATGAAGTGACTTAAACAGATCCAGTTCTTATTGATAGTTAAGTTTTGAAAATAGGAATTTATATTTTATGTTTTAGAATTAAAACATTCTATGAAGGAATAACATATTTTGCATTTTTGGGGCTATATGTCTAAGAAATCTAAAACATTTTGCAAACATTTTGTGAATCTCCGTTAAGTAACTTGATACAAGTTTATGGCATTAATTACATTCTACAATAGGGAAATGTATACCTTTAGAGATAAAATATACTATTTTTTTTTTGGTGAATGGCATTTTTTCCACAAACAAAACATTTTTGCTCTAAATACATTGACACACCTGATCATTTTTTTAAATTGTTTTTTAATTCAGGTTCTCTTTGCAAAATATTGACTGTCACCTTTACTACTATCGCATTTGTCATATACAATCGGTTTTTAAAGAGAGGCTCCCACACGACACCTATAACTATGAAGAAAATGAAAGCAAAAAGAAAAAACAAAGGAAAGAAGTAATTTATTACTGGATCATCTTTGTGTAAGAATTATACATTGTCAATCTATCAATGGAACACCTATATCAATAAAACTTAAAAGAATAATTATGTAGTTACATGCTTAGCAAATGAATGTGCTTCATATAATCATTTTGAGTACAAGTATAATACAGTCTTTGTATTTTAAATTTTTAGAACTATAAGATACACATTTAATACTTTCAATGGAAGGATAATACTTTGAAAGAAATTTAAGTGGAAAGGGGAAAATATATGTAGGTTAATTCTGTCTGCTGTCGTATCCTATTAGCTATTGACTCTTGACTGTGTAGAATTAATTAGATTAATTAGGTTTCCTATAGTTTATTCTTAGTACTTTTCATTTGGACTGTGAATGTTTATTTCTCCATAAATTTTCTAAATAAAATTAGATTTGCTAATCCAGATCATATAATAAAAATTGAAATTAAAGTCATATTTATTTTCCAAAAAAAAAGACTATCTTAAGACTTTTAAAATTTGACATTTTATTTATCTATGATTCGCCATGTAAGAGGTTTCTGCAGAAAATTTCTTTGGTTAATTGGCCATATATTCATGCTCCTTTAATTTTAGTAGACATAAAATTCAATATAATAATATACCTCTACATTTTGACCTTCACTTGAATTTTATTGATAAAGATTACCTGATAATCTGAGTTCATATCCATTTTTGTGCTTTTATACTTTATGATTAATCATAATTATTTCACTTGAAGAAATAGTCACATTTAAATGTAGGAAACATGTCAACAATTTATGGATTTTTTAAGCTGAAGTATATTTCTGTAGAAAATTTTGGCTACAATTTTTTCATACATCATTGTATATCCATCCAAATTATATTTTCCAAATATTATATACAAATCAGATTGTCATAAAACAAAAAAGTTCTCTACAATGTTTCTTTGTTCTCTTGGGAGAAGTGATAACTGACAAAATTTTTCCTTTGTTATTCACATGCATTGATTACTGTGCTTGGACATTTCCCTATTTGTGGTCATGGCTGGCAGACGGCAATGTGAAGGAGGGATTATTTATAACTTGCTACACATTTTTCTTCCTCAACTTCAACATGCATTTTGAAAATCTATAAGCTAATCTTCGCGTGAAACTCTACTTGATTGCTTGACTCTTCCCTGAACCAGCAGGCTGCCAAACATTTGAGGATCAGAGTGAGAAAACAGAATTCTTTTCCTTTAAAGATTCTACAAGATTTATTGCTGTGCTGAACTTTCAGAAGAGAAAAATGAAATTTACATAAGCATCAAAAATGTATTTATGATGATCTACATTTTCATAATAAAATGCCTTCTTGTGAAACATTTCTGATAATATTTTTAATGTATGTAGGATTTTTAGCTTTTATTGGAATTAAAATTGAATAATTTTAGATTACTTATATCCTTTCTTAATATTCTACTATCTAAAAATATTATTTAAAAATTTATACAACTAAGAAATAAGGTAAAATAATAATATTCATAGCCATTTTGAAGGTGCTTGCAAGATTTGTTTGAAGCCTCACTTCAATTTTGTCATTCAAGTCCTGTTAGACCAAAGAAAGCTTTGTTTTTCAACAGCATCTTCTGCCAAAGTAAATGTTTGATTTTCAGCCTCTTGCCCCCGTACAATATGGGAAATGACCTCAGAGAAACAAATTGAAGTCAGATCAACTGCACTAAGTTCTCCCCTCCCTTTGATATTAATCTCTTCCTTATTTCTTTATTAACTCTATCAAGTTTTTAAACAGAATATTTTAATATATTACCTAACTTTTCTTATTGTTTTCAGATAATTTGCCTGATGCAACATGTCTTCTTCTTGGAAGCACCACTGGCTTCTTTCTTCATGATTGCTCAACTTTTCCTCACAAACGATATCCCCAAGAGAATGATTCATAGTTATTTACTATTTTACAGTTTTATTATTACGTTACAACTATAGCAGAGATAACTATTACTAAAAAATAGTGTTCTTCCCTTTAAAATTTAGGAAATTTTACTGTGTCACTATAAATGGCATAAACTCATTAATGCTTCCTATTTTATCTTTTGAAACTACTATGTCAAATAATTGATATTATTACTCTAAAATATTTTTGACTTTAATATAGTCAAGTTCGTTTGCATCCAAAGTCAGGTACTTTTATACAAAGCTTGTAATGTATTAACTTTCCAAAATTTGCAACATGAAAATGAAAAAAAAAAAAAAAAGAAAAAAAATCCAAAGCTCAGGTACTTTTATATAATGCTTGTAATGTATTAACTTTATGAAGTTTGCAACATGAAAATGAAAAAAAAAAACCCAACATTATATAATGCTTGTAATGTATTAACTTTCTGAAATTTGCAACATGAAAATGAAAAAAAAAAAAAA